TATCTATCTATCTATATTGAACACACTGACTAAAAACAGGATGAAATACTGCTACCCATCTTGCAGTTTTCTCCTCACTGTATCTGCTGACTTTTTACTCTCTTTCTCTCTCTCCCCTCTAATGTAAAATAGGGAGCAGTTCCAACAATGGGTCGGGCGGCTGTGGTCAATGGAGCTCAATTGGCCTCGTATTCACAAGCCAAGCAATATATCATTGGTTCTGGTAAGTTGTAAAAATCCCCTCGTTTCTTCTGGTCCATATGCCACCTAGGTTATCCGAATGAGCATCCTCCTGTATGCAGTGGTTTCCACTGGAAGGATTGCAATCGTGATTTATATTGTACGATTTCTGGGTGCTTACATTTCAATCAGAAGTGTACACAGTAGCGAGAAAGAGAGAGCGAGAGAGAGAGTGCAAAGCTAATTAAGTCCTGAAACTGTTAAGTACATCTAGGAAACCAGCGTGCTTTTTTAGTTTATGCAACTGAACTGCTACATGTGTTCGTTTTGGAGCCGATTTCAACTTGCGATATACTGGTTTCGACCGATGGCTGCCCCTGGAATGACACAAATCATTAGAACCTGTTTTTGCTGTTGAGGCAGGTTTGGTGTAGAGTTGTTGTGGTATCCAATCACATCTAGTGTATTATCGTTTTAATCATTGTGGGGCTGCAGCTTGTCCGATTTCTACCAACCGGAATTCCGCAGAATCCTCGTTTGTATGTTGTTGAACAGCCAAACTGCAACTATCTGCGGCTCCACATTCTCCTGTGATAAATTAGTTGTCACAAATGTTCATCATTACGCCTCATCAGAACTAGATCTGAATAGTCCGGACTGTTATCATACTGATTTCCACACGATGCGGAGGAGACTGATTGGACAGAATGAAGTAGATCGAGAACAATACTAAATGGAAAGTGAAAACCGGTCTGAGCAGCTGCCCGATGACCAAGTGGGTAGCATGCTTGCGTTCTGCCTGGTTCGATCCCCAGTGGAGTCGATGGATTCACACTGCAGCGGATGATACCCAACCAGGTGGAAATAATTGTCCAGTGCTTCCTAGCTTTCCAGTTCACGCTTCACTTACCATATGCACGACGAATTTCCCCTTGGAAACTAAATTCATTGTCATCAGTATTCATTACAAATGTGAACGAGATATCGTGTACACTTGTGATACTATCTTATTCGTCAATCTGTTTTGAAACATGTCGAGAATAGTAACTGTCGAAGTGGGAGTCTTTCCGTTGTTGTACGCTTAATTTATTTATGTACACCCCTGCCAGTGAAGCTCCTCTAACCGGATCGTATAGAGGCGACGAAGTATTTTCTGTACTCCGAAGAGATAGATGAGAAAAATGTGTGTGGACTAATTCCTCCTGTTTCTTTGTGCCTACATACTTCCCGATTGTGGAATGTATAATGAAAGGATTAGTTTTTGATCTCACACCCTCCTCCTCCTTGGGTCTATTCTGGAGCAAATTATTTTCTCAGTGTTTCACTCGTTCGGGATTTCATGCTGTAAAGGAGAAGCGGATGATGATGTAGATACAACTGAAACCAGTTGCTGGACCATATCTCTGGCTAGGAATCCTTTGCGTTCCTTTCCACATTAGAAAATCGGACTTCGTTTAATGTCGATCTAGCTGTCAATTATTCTTTGACAATTCCCATGATAGTTACATGAATATCTGTGACTCTGCGAACTCGTGCATACAACCACGTGTTGGGGACGCCATCCAAAGTTTCTCTTCCTTCTCCGAATCATCTCCAATCTGAATATGACCTAGCCGTTCCGTTTTGAGATTTTTGTCATGGCAAGTCACGTGACTGAAAAATAAGCTCACACACGTGAGTGTGATCAGTTAAACAGTAGCATTTTCTACATAGTCACATGAGTGAATGACCGGTAAAACACTCCGCTTGGCCCTCTGAGAATATGACTGACTTAATAATCCGCACGCGTGCACATTGTCCAAAATGCGGAACATATTGTTGTCCTTTGTTTGCTCGCCTATTCACTATTCACAGGCTCCGTGGCTGCATATATGCGCTGCTTACGACTCCTAACTAGCTAGAAGTAACCAACTATGTTAATCGATTCCAAGAATTTTCAGTGAACTGTATGGTATTTGATAGTGAATCACTTTATAATCGTTCCATCTCTTCAAACTCCAAATGAACTCTATTAGCCGATAAACCCATGGGACATCTAGAAGAAACAAAACTCCGTCGATAAATCAATACACGAGACCTTTTTCTATAAGCGTTGTGTTGACGACACGTTTGTTGTGGTGGTAACGCAGTGGTTTAGTCACTGTCACTGGCTCTCTTTATATCCTTGTGTCCAAGGTTCGAGCCCTGCCACCGCTACCCAACTTTCGTGGTAGATAGCTTTGCTGTCGTCCATTTCAATACCACGTCCATCCTTAGCGGGGCCTATGTGGTCCGCCACTCCAAGTCCCGGGGCTTAGGTCACCATGACGGAGCATTGGATCTTCGTGACTACGGGGTTCACCCCGTCTGCCGTTAACCACACAAATGTGTAATAAAAAAGGATCATACGAAAGACTAAAGCTAAAAACTTTGAACTGCTATCACCCTAACATCAAATTTACCGTAGGATATAAATCTGAGACATCCTTTCAGTTCGTGAATGGTAAACTCACTAGAAGGGAAGATGGATCTCTCTCATCAGGTCCACATTCTATAAATCAGCTTGGACGGGACAGTATGTGGACTTCAGAAGCTTCGGTCCAATGCAACATAAGCGAGCCCTAGTAACGGGATTGTTTTCCAGAGCGAAGAGAATTCGTTATGCAGAAACACTCGATAGTGATCTTTAATCGATTACGGGATAACGGATATCCGCGGAATTTCATTGCAAAGTATGGCAACAACATATTGACCAAAACTAGGAGAAACGACGTACCGAAGAAAAACTTTTTCATCACAGCACCGGTTACAGGTGCTCTGAATGACAACGTCGACTGAAACTAGCTCGTTCAAGAACGTATAACGACGCTTCACTGATTATTATTCTCCATAAAAACAGACGAATACTTACTGAATTCAATTTGGACCAGCTGATCTCTCCTCGTGTATTTGCCTGTTTCAATGCACTTGCGGTAGCAAGTATATCGAAAGAACTGAGAGACGTTAGGATCTCACAACAGGTCCCGAGAAATTTAGCGCTCAATGGCTCGAAGATTCCCTCAGGTTCTGTTGCTCGCCATATATTGGACTGCAAACTTTGTGTCACTCCAAAGCAAGTGGAACCAACAGAAAACTGGACGGCTGTTACGGTTTGCTGAGATCATAGCCATTCGACCTCACAAACCTAACCTTGGTAAACACCTTGCCATGGTAGCGCTGCCACCGTTGTTCCGATCGCTAATCATGCTGTCCCACCCTTTCCCTCTGTTTAACCGGAGTTCAACTGGTGACCTTTGATCTTCGTATTGATTTTGCCTAGTCGAGTGTTTTTGATGTTTAAAGATTTGTTTTGATGATGAATTCATCGTGTAAATGAGGCGTGAGCTGAAAGGCTGGACAGCTGTTTCGACCTGGTTGGGTCTCATCAGCAGTGCGAATCCATCGACCCAACTGGGGATTGAACCCCGGGACCTCAAAGATTTGTCATTGTACTTACCGAACTTTCACATGAATGTTTGTACACACAGCTGAAGGGAGGACCGCGAAACACAGTTGAATTCAACCCAATTCTGTGCTGATGCTTATTCTCGTTCGTATGAAATTTCTAAAGGGAACCGGATGTGTGGAACTCTATTTCGTTGTGGGCAATGTAACATCATGAAGCAAAACTTCGTCACCATCCTCATCGGCGTCGTCGTCGTTGTGGTTCAGCGGTATACAGTGATGCAAATTTTGCGGATTATTGCATAACTTATTTGCATTTCTCGCTATTCGAATGGCCCTGCACTGGAGCGCAGTAATCCGCTTGGAGTCGGACAGAATTTAGATATACTATAAAGAAATGCGATCCATGGGCTTAGTCAATGTGTATCTGATCCTGGTCGAAGTCAAAGTTAGAATAGTATTTTATACCAGGTGGATGGTGAGATTTATAAGATCGTTCCTTTTGCCTTCAAAGTCCAAGTTTTCATTATTGGAAATACTTACAAGCAGTTGTTTTTCTAGTCCCATAGGATTTAGCACAAATGAATCGATTAACGATTCACAGAAAGTAGACGAATGTCACAATTTATCCTTGTTTCGTGCACTGCTACGGATGTTGAAAGTTAAGACTTGTGGAAACTGCTTCCAGTTTGTACTTGAAGGAATCAATTATGGGCGCTGAAACAACGTGTGGTAGAGAATTCCAAGTAGTGCACACTCTGAGGAATGACTCACGCCGGCATTGTTAGGGCATTAATTTGAATGAGTGCCCCCTCAGGTGAGTGTTGGGCGACATGGGTGATCTGGGTTTTGCATTATTTGATACACCAAATCAAGTCCTCACAAATTCGGTGATAATTTGTGGAGTACAGCTGCAGTGATTCCAGTCCTTCCGCGTAACTCTTGACCATTTTGGTGGTCATTCTTTGTAGACGTTCCAGAATCATACCATCGCGTTGCAACCATGAATTCCACGCTTGAGTCGCATACTTCATGTGGGGCCGAATGTAGACTGATAACCGTGGAAACAGTGTAGGTTGTAATTTGCCGGATGTTCGCTTTATCAAACCAAAATGTCTTACAGAGGTAGACGACGCCCTCGAGCAGTTTAAAGAATAACCGAGGTCGTATTGGACAATGACAATGAGATCCTTCTCATTCGGGACATACGGAAGTTTTTGATCTCCCAGGAAGTACGAAAACCGAGTTTTGTGGCGAAGGGATACGTCGTACATTTCGATGCATTAAATTCCATGTCATTTTGATAGACCATTGATGGGCAGCATTAAGTGTTCTTTGGAGTTCTAGCGAGTCCTCTGGTTTTGTCCCCGTTTTCCATATCTTTGCATCATCTGCAAACATTAACGTTTGTGGCCCCAGAATGTCCGTTAGATCGTTTACAAGAACAAGGAAAAGTTGAGGGGCAAGCACGGATCTCTGTGGAATTCCTCGTGCCACACTGATGGGATCAGAAAGTGATCCAGAAACCCGAACTGCCATGGTGCGTTATCGAAGAAATCCTGCTATCCAGTCCAGTACAAGTCCCCGAATTCCATAGTTGTGTAGTTTCCTCAATAGTATTTTGTGCTTTACTCGGTCGAATGCTTTGAAGAAGTCGAGATTCACAATGTCCACTGCATCAGCGTGATCAGCTGCCTTTGTCCACTCTTCTCGGGCCCGAAGCAGGTTAGTGGTACACGATCGCCTGCGACGAAACCCATGTTGAGCAGACGATAACACGTATTTTTCCAAGTGACTCATCACATTGTCTGCAACAATGGATTTCGTGACTTTGGTCGTCAGTCCGAGGAATAAAACAGCTTGATGCCACCGCTCTTACTCATCTCGCACAAACCAAACTATCCTCAGTTAGCATTACTTCATGCGAGCACTTGTTCCCGATTAGCTGAACTGTGTGCTATGATATGATTGGCTGTTGCAACACGATGCGGTTCACAATGTCTCCCCTTATTTCTCAATGGGTGTTTATTTCGGCTGATCTGTGATGTCATCGTGAATCACACACACACACACACACACATGATCAGTATGACTTTCAGTCATCCGCAGTACATTCAAAGTTGCAAACGGGTTATTTGTGTGAAAATTACCCATTCTGGGTACGAATGACCTGGCAAAAGATTACCGGATACGCATACTTGATGAGCGACCAAAATCTCAAAACCGGTTGTATGCTTCCAGGGCAATTTTATCTGGTTATTCGGATACCACTTATTGTAAAATATGTCTATTTATATATATCACGCATTTGAGTTCCACCCATGCCCAACAAATCGAGGGAAAATAATCTTTATAACCAACAAAAAGGTTAGTGATTTGCTAGTGAGCAAAATACTGTCTGGTTGTGGGATCTCGTGTCCAGTTCCTCAGATCCTTCGGACGGGGTCAAACTTCCAAGATACCCGACCAAGTCCCTGCTTAGTTGGTTTGAAATCAGGGGTTTTAACCAATGGGTGAACGGTCAGTGGTTCATCGACCCGGACATTGACTTTTCATCGTCTAACTTCCGCCTTAAGATGTCAACGAGTGAGGGCTTCATCAGCTGAGCATTTCGTGACCAGTCACAATCTAAGATAGCCTCCTTCAAACCACATACTGAAGCTTTCAGAAGCAACAATAGTGTTATACTCGGGGTGATCATTTGTTTCTACGTTGTTTTGTGCCAGTTCGCTATGATGAACATAATCGTCTCTCCCTCCTCCATCTCCCTTCATCCTTGGCTGACGTAATCCACCAAGGGTTCCTGTCCGATGGAATTGTGGCACACTTTTCGGCTAGCATGTTCAGCGGTTTCGTGACTTCCGTTTTCTCCCTGCCTGTGGATATCACCAAGACACGGATTCAGAATATGCGCATTGTTGATGGAAAACCGGAGTACCGAAACATGTTGGTCAGTTTCCTGTTTTTTCTCTGGTCGTTTCTTTTCTCATGTTTATCCCATATTCCACATGCATTTTGTTGTATCTGGGGCATATCTCATTTTTTCACTTGCTTTTGGTTTCAACTAAATGTCTCCTACTTGAGAACGAATCAGTTTTACCTCTCTCTGATAATCACCGCGCATCCATGTGGGCCCGAGGACAGGTTATCGCAGATTTCAGTCCGGTGGAGATTGCTACTCCCCCCACCATGATCGTATACGTAGTTGTTCCTTATCAGCCAGAACATCGAGATCTTCACTTGGTCATTGCAAAGGTACCACGTCGGACAGGACGTTACTACACGGCCTAGTTGTATGAATACCCTGGACTGTTTTCTGAATCTCTGTAGACGTTTCTCTTTCAGGAATTTGCACTCGCTTTCGGTGTTGCTGTTGCATTGAAGAAAATCGTTGTAAATTCAGTCTTGCGGTCTAACTTTCACCATACTATATAGTTATCAGTGATTGAGGACCCATCGCATTTGGGCTCTAAGCGTTTGTTTTTTGCAGCCGTCTATAAGACCTAGGCAGGTGGGGACCACATAGACATGCACTGTGGTTTTGAGTCTTAATTCGTTACGATTCCACAACTATGTTTCAGTTTCGAACCGGTTACTTCACAGTTTTGAATAGGACTTTGGATTTCGGTTTTGACCTGTTCGCTCGATAGTACGATCAATGAAAAAAAGTACGTGAAGACAGACATTCTTTCTACAGCTTCACACCGGTTGTTGGGATATCTCTCGCAATCAAACAGATCTTTCTTTGGCAAGGGTTGATCTTTTTTCCTTTTGATAGTGGCCACGTGGTTCGGAATAATTTCACTGACGTTTTTCTGGATCCAGTAGCCAGAAACCAGAACTATCGCACAATAGTGCATGGTTAATGGTCATATAAAAACTGAAGATCTAAAACCTAAGAGGTAATTTTCTAACAATTTCACCACTAATCAACTTTGTTGAAGCACGGCTAAGCTGTCCCACATCTCAATGCTTCCTCTATCCTGTCTGAACCTTTTGTGTTTTATCACTATGTTCTAGAACTACGGTTCTTTGTTCTTGTCACTGCATGATAGGTCTTTGTGTCTATGGTATTTCTTCTTACTTGACTGTTAAAAGTTAAAAGCACACGTAATCGACAAGACCGACTTCATGTCGTAGACCGAACAATTGATTTACGTCCCAAAGTCCAGTGTCTTATTTGGTGGATATGTACAAATTGTTCTGGGGTTCGGCACTATTCAAAACAATCAATCTAAAATGAGAGGAATGTGCAAAGTTTAAATCGTCGGTCACCGGCATTACTGCAAATGCGAATGTAACTCATTTGTGCAATAAGTCTGATAAATCTGAAAAAAAAAACAGTTGAGTCAACAGGGCTAGTGTGATCCAACACGGTCAAAAGTGTGGTGCGCATTCTAACTTTTCAGTTCATGCTTCGCTTCTATACTACAAATCAAATTGTCCACTACTTTCCCGGGGCGGAAAATAAACGGAGCTAGACAGGTCTGCTGTCGTCCGGTTCAATCCCATGCCTAACTTATCGGGGGCCCCTATGAGGTTCGTCACTCCAAGTCCCGTGGGGTTGTCGGTTTCCACCACTGAACAACAGGTCCTCGTGACTATGGGGCGCGTTCCGTCTGGTCCCGTTCATCACACATGGGTGAGCAATAAAAAAAAGACAACGTGCCAGAAGGAGTTATCACAGTTGATAACTGTGTCCACAGGATGATCACAGCAAGACAAGGGTATCGGTAATGCGGGCACAAACCCTGACAACTGTGGTGAGTAGTCAGTTACGGTGACGTGACACTCTGGTGACAAAAGCCATTTTCTCAAATCACTCTCCTTAACCGGGAAGAGACAAAAAGGAATACAAATTGGTCATTGGCATTGGAAGACGCTTACCGATATGGATAATTTAAATTTTTAATCGTTTTCAATCAAAATGTGTTACATGCTTATACTTGAATGACATTGGGTTTGATTACATTCTACGAGAGAGTGTGAACGGAACAGCTGTCTTGAGTTTTTCAGTTAGACGCAACACAAACTATCGGAAACTACTATTTATCAAACCCATGAAATTTAGAAAATGTAGGAGATGAACAAATTTCTCGTTCGCGAATAAAAGCTGAAGGAACGCGGCAGATGGAAAAACGCGCAATTCCGTTTACTACTCACCAACTTGGTGCTGTAAGTATATACGATTCGTTGTCATCGTCGTTGTCCCCTTCAAGCACAAAAGTAATCTCTTACGATATATATATATATATATATATATATATATATAAAGGCGATTCCTCCCTCCCCGCCTATCCGGCCCCAGAACAACGATCATCAATGTTCCGATGCTGTGCAAAAATCTCCGAAGTAAACTGCTCGTCTTCACATCATTGGTGGGTAGTCGTGTTACGACCTACCGGGGTCAAACGAAAAGGTGATAGTCAAGGAACAGCTTTGAATGTGCGGAAACATTAACCAACACAGTCGTAACTCAGCTCACAAAAACTGGCCGTCGATTCGGTAACGACACATTGCAAGTCATATACAGAGTTTCTCTGAATATATCAAAGCTTATATGACTGCACTAATTAGTAACAGCGAAAGTGGTATCAAGTAAACAGATGAGCTCATCGATAGGCACAC